CATGCATAGAAGATACTGAGAGTAGGCTGTTAGCCCTAATAATTCTTTATTGGGAGAACATCTGTTAGGTTTGTTGTGAAAACAGCAGGAGATATTTTTGTCAAGTGCTTATACCACAGTTCAGGCTGTTTTATAGACTAGTAACTTAGATACTTTTTGTGCCTAAAAGGAAAATTACATGCTACCATAGGCTTTTCAACCATAAATCTTCATCTAGTCTGTCATTTCTGTGCTTTAATATGACAGGCATGTTATTGAAATGACACCTATGAGATCAAGTTCTCCTCACATCTTGCAGAAGATAAGCTGTGAATTTTGGTCCAATTAATTTTTAGTCTTTCTGTAGTCAGATGGGACCGTATTTTTTTCCTATCTTACTTTTTTTTCTGCCTCTGTAGTATGAGAGAATCAACTGTGAGCAGTCTGATCCATCAGTCCTAGATAAGCCTAGGATTTTTTAAAAATCTGCACTGAAATTAGCTCAGAGTTACTTCACGGTATACTTCCTTTTTTGCAGTCATTACTGGAAGAATGGCAGTCAGGTACGCAGTGGTTAATGGCATTTCATTAGGGACAGAATTTTTTAGCGGTCAGAGGCATTATCTGATGTGTTTAAGCATCCTATATTCTGACTATATTCTTGTTTAGTGCAAAACCTGATTGTATTGGAAGCAAATGACTTGTTGCCTTAAAGACCAAACACCGACATTTCCTTACTATGATGCACACAGTATTTAATTAAAAAAAGTCTTCCTTGAATCAAGTTTTCTAACAACAGTTGTGGGACGGGAACTTGAACCACTGTTCTTCAAGTGTTGAAAATACGTTTTGGTACAGTGCTGTGCTAAATCTATTTTATGCCTAAATCTCCATGATTAAGGGTTCATTTCTTTCAGTCTGCCCTCGAGGATTCTGCCTCTAAGTCTTCTTACCCTTCCCTTGAAAGGGAGATAATGTGTATCTACAAGGTACCTCAGTCTTACAGACTTAAAGAATGATCCAGAGAAACTATTGACTACAGAGTGAGTTGAGGGAGACTGGCTTCTTATCTTAGCCACTAACCTCGAAGCTTGAAGTGAGCCAAGTGAATAGGCATGTAGCACCCCTGTTTCCTGGCACAGGCCCATTTTTCTCTGAAGATTCCATTATTTATGCCTTTAGTCCATTATTTATGTCTCTATTCCATCATGTATTAGAATTGAGAGGACGGAGCATGTCTGAAGTTTATGCAGATACCATTGGCGTACTAGAGCACTTAAAACTGGTGCATATATTCTTTATGTATTGCAATGTTTGGTGGCAAGAGGAAACAGAACAGTATCAGGGAATGTATAAAGGGTAGGTGTAATGCATTTATGTTTATCTATAGGACACTATTAAATTCTCGTTATTATATAGGAAACATTAGCACTATCTCTAGTTTTATTTCTTATTCACCACAGAAATTGATGGAAAAAACTCATGTACATGTTCAAGTGATTGAAAATCGGCAAAATTGTAAAACTGGAAAAATTAAGTTTATGCTTGCTGAGTCACTGATGATTTAAATAGGTTTAGTGTTTTTCATAAGGTCTTTTCCTGTAGAAGAGAAAAATACAACATGCTGTTTAGCTGCCCATAAATATTTACTTTGCTATTATACAAAACTTGCAATTGATGGTGTTTAGAGAAGCATGTCTTTCACAATCCAACATTCTTTTCTTGAGCAGTCACTGAAATCAAATTTGGATACAACAGTCCCTTTTAAAGTTTGTGGTAGTAAATTATCAATGCAAAGATTGAGGTTTATTGTTGCTTTTGAGAGTTAACAAGAAAGGAAATATTTGAGGTTCTTCTTTAATATGAACATTTGCCAAAAGTAGTTAGTATCCACAATGTCAATAGATTTTAGAAAAAATTTCTCACACAGAGGACCTTAAGAACATAAGAAGCTCACTGTTTTCCTTGGCACACATTTAATGTTTCTCCTAGGTTAACTCTGAGGCATCTGTACAACAGCGGTGGTAACTGATCTCAGTTACACAGTTGTGTTTGGGATGATTAAGATCTTCCATACCTCCAAAATACTCAATATCACCTCCTCCTCACAAGAAGAGTCAAAAAACCTGATGATGAATACTATTTATATGTGTTTTCTCAATTCTCTGAGAATATAATTTTGTTGTTTATTGATAACATAAGTTTTTTACACCTAAGACATACTTTGTGTGGAGTCACGGGTCAGCATTTGCCTTGTATTACACTAGGTATAGTTGAGACTTTTGCCTGGGATTTGCAAGAAGTGGATGTTGATTGGGAGTCACTCCTTTAGGAAAACTAGCTGGATCTTATGTTTTTTTTTTTTGTCTTGAAGAAACTGAATCAGATCCTAAGTGCACTAATCACTGGGCTGTGTAGTATGGTTCTGCTCACTATTATCTGGCCCAGCAGAACTGTGTTCTTTCTTACAGAATATCATGACTTCAAGGGATAGCATGCTCTTATTCAGGAGTTCTCTAAATTCAGGTGGTTGTGATATTCCACTGAGTTGTAGATCTAATTTTTAACTTCTTCAGGCTGAAGACGGAATTGAATTCAACAGCCCCATTTCCTGCAGGAGCACTGTAACCACTGCACTGTTAGAAAGGCCAATTTTATGCCTTTTTTTTGTTTTTTTTTTTTGGAGGGGTGCTGTGCTTTCAAAAGTAGTTGTGGCATCTGTGTTTGGGAGATCTGTATTAATAACAGAGCTGTGTTATTCCTCTGTTACCTGTGCTCAGCTACTCCAATGGGGCCTAATACAGGCTTTGCAAACCAAGGTGATGGAATTCAGGGGAGTCTGCCAGGAGTAACTACTAAGCTGCTATATTCCAGTATGACCAGAAGCAAAACTTCAGGCAGACTTTGAAGACCTCAATATAAAAATATAGGCAAGTGTGAACTTCAGGAAGTGACATAGTCAAGCAAGGATTGTCTGAATGTCACTTGGATTTAGATTCCTAAAAGTCACCTAAATCCTTATCTTTATTTGTGCCAGGATATTTGAGGTGTTACTTGTGGGTAAAGGCAGAAATTTAGCTGAGATATCCCAAAATCTTATATTGCAGCATTTGCAACTTCTGAATAAACTGTTGATTAAGAAAAACATTTCTGACAACCAATTAACTCTCTACAACATTCTTTATATTTCTCTTGTTGTGGGGAATAGTGATGGTCAGATTACAGACCTTGTCAACTCACCCAGGCTGTACCTTTTCAATAGACAGAGCTACCACTCTTCTTATTCTCACCCTGAGCTGGCTGTTCCAGATGTTCAGAAAACTCCACCATCTTTACATTGACCATCAATTTATATCCTGCTTGCTAGATAAACCCAGTAGTAGGACGGTGTTGTGACTGAATCACTGGAATATGAAGAAGGTTATCAAATGAGATACTGCTAGCATCTCACACCATATTGGTACTGTATGCATTTTCAATGTTACCTGGTCTGCAAACAGTGGAAGTCACATGAGACACTGCACTGGATGGGTCTCAAGGAGGTCAGACAACATGTGATGCTCAGCAGTATCAGAAAAGGTACATACAACTGCACAAATTCAGTTTTCTTAATTTCTGCTGTCTGTACAGTGTCTGCAGTGTCTAGTAACCAGAGATATCAGAAATAGATGATAATTCTAATATTATCAGCAAAAAAAGTTTCCTTACAAATAGTCTTTGTGCCATGATGGAACAAGAGGCATTGCAGAATGATGGAAAATTGCTGTAAATCCCACATGCCTACAGGCTTCTCAGTCAAGGCAGTAATACAGGCAGTGAGGTTGGGGATATAAATCTAGTCTCTGTGCAGCAATTAAGAAATAGTTCAACTTCCATTTGTGCCAGTCAGTCTGGTAACCTGTTCACAGAAGGGCACTTGCAGCAGAGCCAGCCAAAGGGATAACCCTCAGAGACTGGCATTTACAAGACTAATAATACGTATGTTGTAGGCCTCAGTCTTTTCAGGTTCTTTGGGGAGAGGCTGCCAGGGTAATGGATGCATTTACACTTTAGTTTCCTGCCATGACCAATTTCAATGTGATTGATCTTCCTGACAAAGAAGATAAACTATAGTCGTCATTTAGGAAGATATTTTCTGGAAGTAATAATCCTACCATCCAATTTCACCTTATTGTAGGGAAAATTGTGATTATTTTTAGTCAGTTTTGAATAAAGATGTATTAATTTCATAGTTTCAATCTTGCTATTAAAAATTAATTTGGCATTTTGGTTTTGTTTCTATTTAAAAGTATGACATTTTCCAAGTATATGAGATCACAGTCTTAATGGAGTTATGTTTAAATATATAAATATATGTATAAAATACATGTCTAGGCTTTTGTAAAGGTTTGAATTTTTGTACTTTGTTCAGCTCAACTGAATTTAGAAAATAATTTTTCTCTATTCTTCTATATTCCATTTATAAAACAGAAAATACTAGTTGCAAATTCTACAGAATACTGTGATAAGTTATAATTTTATAAAGTACTTAAAAAATGGGACAGAATTATTGTACATAAGTGGAACAGTCCTTATCCCTTCTATTGTCACTTAAAACAAAGATTATAATAGTTGCCTGATTCCTTAATAAAAGAAACTTAGGAACATAGAGCTTTTGAATAATTAGTAAGGGATTATTTTTAACTAGGAAATAAGCTGTATTTAGCCTTATTGTTTAAATTCATTGTGTATTTTAATTTTTTTCAACGAAAATGCCTATCCAACTCTAGTTCATCTGAAATGTTTAGAAATTTCAATTAAGCTGTAAGTCTGGATATTGGGTGAACTAAATTATATGGATGACACTAGGCTGTCCACTAAAAAGAAAGTTTACATACAACTTTTCATTAAGAATCTAAAAGCCATTTATAGCATATATTAAATCATATAGCTGTTCTGTGTAATGGGGAGGGCTGCTATTGAAAATATAGGAGTTACCGATTGACACCAGAATGATAAAACTGCACTCTTTTGTTTTTCAGGTTTTAGGAACAGATGAGGATAATATGGGGGATGGTTGCTCTCAGAAACTGGCTTCTGCCAAGTTCCTTCGACTTTTGCTCCTAATACTGATTCCATGCATCTGTGCCCTTATCCTTTTGTTGGTGATCCTGCTTACCTTTGTAGGTGAGTGCTAATGGAGTAAACTGACACATTTTAAATTAAGGAGACTGAAAATGAGACTGCATTCTCAAGTGCTAATGTAATTGTGGACATTAAAGATATATCTTAGCACATCTACCTAACAAACTAATCTACGTAGTGATTTAATAGTGTTTGTTGAAGACAAATAAATATGCCATTGAGATTTATATATTTAAAAAGTGTTTAAGGTTCCAAAGAGGAAACCTTTTCTGCGTTTCTCAGAGTACATTTCTGAGGAGCACACTACCCTGAGTATGTAGTATGTAGATGGTTTTCAGCAGTCATTTTACAAGTACAAAAAGATATTTATGTTAGAACTTTAGATCACTGACAGTGGAATGGAATATTAATCCCTTTACGTCACACATTGATGTGCAAATCTGATATTTATTTTCAGGTGAAAGTTAATTTATAAGTAGCCACTAATCTTTCTGAACAGCCTATAAAATGTTACTACTTATCTAAGGAAAAATATGCTCATTTCTCCTAAATATGAAATATGTATCAATGCAGAACCCCAAGTATGTTTTGTGAATACTTCCAGGTATAACAGATTTCATAATGGCTTAGTCTGTTAACTAACTCTGTGTCTGTTACAGAATTAAAAGTTAATAATTTATTACCAATTTTTTTTTTTAAAAGCCTTCTCTTTGTTACTGTGAGAGAAGCTGACAATTTTAGCATTAAATTGGTTCAACTACAACATGAGAAAGACAATAATGCTAGGTTAAAGCATTACTTTTTTAGGAAAAAAAAAGAAAGTAGAGAAATCATCTGTTTTCAGTGCTGAGGGTTTCTGGGATTTTTGCTTTTTTTTGTTAATGAGAACATCTTCTAATTGAGCTTCCTTAAGTACTTCAGAAGCACATCTGCAACAAGTGGAGTAATGTCTGAGGCATATAGACATAAATCTAATTTCCTATTTTAAACCTATTTCAATACACATCATACAATCAAACAGCAATCACAGGAGGAAACTAAACACATCTCAATAGCACCTTCAGCACTATCAAGACAACTTAAATCTGTTTTCTCAATTCAGTCTGTAAAAGATTTGTAACAAGACATTGTAGGCCTGTTCCTTTAATTTAGCTTGTTAGGGAAGTAAAAAAAAACAAAGTTAGTGAATGTTATGATTGACAAGTAAGTTGTGGGATATATCTTTAAACTAAGAACATTCTGAAGTGGATTAAGATCAAATAAATCTGGCAATTAGGAAATATGATGCCATTCAATTTACTTTCCTTATGCTTAGCATTCCATTTGTATTCTTCATATCCTTTACCCTAGATTTTCATTCTTTAGTGAGAAAGCAGACAAAAAAGCAGGTATATTTATGTCAGCTCTACTCAATCTCCTCCTCTGAGGCATGTATTGACATAACACTCATTAAAATGTATTAAATCCCCTGGGAAAATGGGACCTGTTCTGATCCTACTTACATAGCAAAAATCAGGACTGTCTCCTCTTAAGTCAATGTAATTACTGTAGGGTGAAGAGTAAGGCTTGGTGTTATTACCCAAGCCTAAAACTGGCAAAGCTCCCTTTAGCATCTTTTGAATTAGCATGATTATAATTTAGTATTCTTCTGTCTCAGCTAGCAGCTTTCATTTTATGTGCAATGATAACCTAGAAACAAATATATCCGATGATTGGAAGTAAACGAACAACTTCTGCGGGCATTTTTAAAGTGTGTGTAATATAATGTAGCTTGTTCTATTTATTGAGAATACACTATATCCAGAATAGTAGTTCATACTCATTTCAGATCAATAATAACTGAATTCTGTTACAGTCTAATATTGGTATGATGACTTATAATACAAGAAATGAGTTGATTGTCCTGACTGGCTAACACAAATTATTCGATATATATAAAACTCTAGTCTTATTTTTTCGTTAAACGGATGAGTTAAATTCTGTGCTTGTCATTCTAGTATCTTTCACAGGTGCTTAAAACATAAATACAGAGGTCTAGTATATAATTTAGAACCTTATTAACTTATTTGATTTGACTTTGGTAATGAACTCATTGGAAAATCAGGCCTTTTATATTTTGCAAGAAAGTATTTTGTTTCCTGTGGTAAATTTGTAGGTAATTTTTCTTTTCCCTCTGTAATATTTTTTTGATTAAATGAGGCATTTACACATGAAAAAGTGTGCATGCATCTTAGTGCTTTCCTATTCACTTTCCTTACATCTGCTCTGTTGCCTTCACATCATTTCAAGTGCTGATGTTGAAGAAACTGAAAAGTTGGTATTGGTGGAAGGAGATGGATACAGAAGTACTGCAGTAATAGACAATATCCTACTTGAAGTGTGTCATGGGGGTCTATTTTCAGAATATGACATTAATCAACCTTTCAAAAATTATTTACCATTTTGTTAGAACTGTGTACAAAGAAAGGACACGCAAATTATCATTAGTGATACATATTATTTTGACTAAAGCTACAAAAGAATTCTATGGTCTGCAGAATAAAATAGCAAACTCAGTTGTTTAGCTTTGATTTTGCATAAGTACTTACACTCTGGCTCTACACACTCTTCTGTCTCTCACCAGGAGTACAGCATGCTTGTCAACTTGTAGAATAAAACATTGTAATGAACGAATGTTGTTTCACTCACTGAAGTGGAGGCAGTACCAGCTGCTATACAAGAAGTCTAGCATTTGGATCATGACCGTAATATTTGTTGATTGCCTGTGTTACATCAGAGGACAGGAAGGCTTATGGTGCTTGCTTTGGCTTGTTGTAGACCTAATGTGGAAGACCTTGTCCATGAAGACCTAACTCAGTACTATAAATTTGTAGGGGGAAGAAAAGGCTAGATCATTACATGACTACATCATACATAAAATTACTGATATCTTACAATTTCATTTGACCCCTATAGACATCAATAGCCTTCTAATAAGACTGGGCTATAATTTTTTTCTGGGGATTATAGTTAGTATGGTATAGTAAACTTTAATTACTTTCCAGAAAAACAAACAATAACAAAATCCATTGTGTGAATAGCTAAATCTTTCTTTAAAATAGAGAAATGTAAAGTCACCTTCAACTTGTGTTAGAATCTGTAGTCTATGTCCCATTTTGCTTACACTGAAAAAAAAATCCTCAAGTAATGAATAATTTGCAAACATTACAAAGGAGAAAATTAGCATGTTTGTAAGAATAAAAAACCTCTGGCATTTTAATGCTTTTCCTTGCAGAAAGGAAGTGTTCTAAACCGCTTGAAACACTGTTTTTAAAAAGTCCTTCACAGCTTGTGAACATTATACCAAACTAAATTTTTTTTTATTGTAACATAATTGCTTACCACTGCAGTTACTTATCTGGGAAAACAAAATGCTTTATACTTACAGTTCCATAAAGGAAAATCAATTATATTTTATCTTATACTGATAAATACATTCCATGGTAGACATCCCATTCCTCCCGTTCCTTCACATCAGTATCCCCAACTCATACTTACGTGATCTTCTACCACCTCCTGTTAACAGCCATCTACAGCTAATGCTTTGCCTATTGTTTTCTGTAGAATACAGAACAAGTTTTGTGACACACATAAAGAATGATTTCATGTCTATCAGACTTTTACAGTCCAGATGTAATTTTGGGGTATATGATCACATTGCAGGACCACATCAAATAAGCCTGCATTTCAGACAAGCAGCATACCCTCTTATCTATGCACAATGCTAGGCATTCATGCATTTTGCAAAATAATACTTAAAAAATCTGTTAGTCTGTTAACACTGGTGGAAATGAGGATTACAATTAAAGTCTCTAAGATGCACTGTTGACTGGATATGCAAACAATTGAGGTTTTGGTTCTCTCACCATCCTTATATTATCAACATATAGTGTTTATATTTTGGCTCTGACATGTATTTTGAGATTAATTTTGATTCCCAGTAAGAATTATTACAAGTGATGGGTTGTATTTAGCTTTTTCATCTTATTCTCCATAAAACCAAAGCTCACTAATAGCTGCATTTTCATTAATCTTTTATAAGTATGAACCAGCACGGGCAGTTCTCAAATCATTCTGTCGTTTGGGCTATCTGTAGCAAGATTCAGTCTACCTGAGAGATGCTGTCAATGTTTTCGCGTGCCGCTGGTTGAGTAATGATCATTACTATTATATTATCTATGAGACCTGTGTTGTCCTTTCACTTCACCTCCTGAGGGTGCAAAAGGAGCTGTGTCTGCTTCACAGAATAAACATCAGGAAACGTACATTATAGTAAAACTGTTAGGCTTAGCTTTGTGGCTGTTGGATCTTCCACATTCATAAGGTAACATGCATATTTCAGTACTCCTGTATCAGTTTGGGAACCCAACTGTACTGGCCCATAAGGAACTTTTTGCCACACAGGGGAAGTTAAAGTTGCAGAGTTTACTCTAGAGTAGAAGGATCTTGATCCCTGAATCATTTGGACATTCTGATAGTTCTCCAAGTGATGTTGACCCTCGAGGCATATGAAATGTCGTGAAAATCTAAAGTGACTAGCAGCAAGGAGATCCAAAAGTTTTAACTGTGAAAGCAACATGAAATATAAATAATTCATTGTCAGTCAATGACGGTATTTGCTGTAAGACAGGTGTCTAAATTTAGGAGTTTAATACTAACATATAAATCATTTAATCCTGGAAGTTTCTCTCATGGAAGATGGTGATCATCAGCTAAATTATCTGCTGGTTCTTTAATTTGATCTTGCCAACTGTGGTGGTGCAACCCTACCTCTTGGGCCGCTTGGCGCTTGGTGCAATTTTCCCCGCTTTGGGTCACATGCAAACCCAAGCTGAGCAGGGTTGCTCTGAACCAGAGCATAAAGGCACTCCCTTAGCGCTCCTGACTCCTACCTCCCCTGTTGCTTGGAAATGGACCACATGCCAACTCAAATGGCTCAGGAAAAGCAGTAGACCAGAGCATTAAGGTGCCCCTGAGCCCACCCTGTTTCTGCTGCCTCCTCT